ATGAGATAGGGAGAGAATTAGCATAACCCGTTTCTGGCCTGACCCTTAAAACCTTTATCTGCGACTCTCCAGCCTTCTCTCCACTGCCACACCCCTTAGAAATCACGTTTCCAACAATATCCTTAAAAGAGGAAAGAGTGCTGCTGACCAACAAGCATCTTATTTTATGAGTGACAAATAAACTGTCCACATAAGACCTTGAGATTTTATGGTTACCATGACATCACCTATTGTTTTCTGACTAACACAAACCTATTACTTCATATGTGCACAAATGTATTTATGAAATAAATTCCTCACAGTGTAATTTTAGTTTTAACTTATTTCTCATAGTCTCTAAGACAAGATGATCATCAGACTCTCTAATTTATCCCAGTGCCCCTCATTTCAACCCAAGATTCACATTCCATAGATGCTGCTGGGGTTTAGGTTCCTGTTTACCACCTGAGGTCTTGTTGTCATTCAAAACTCATGCAATTTTTCCTGACCCCTTCCCTACAAACCCTTTAAAGGTTGCCAACAGTTTGCAGGATTAATTCTAAATTTTTCTACCCTGGCACTCAAGCCTAACCACACTAATATATAAAAGAAGATACAGTGTGTGGTGTAGAGTCCGTACTCAGCAAATAGTAGTAGTCATTATATTTATAGCCCGTACCTACAACAAAATAGTGCCTTCTGTATAACTGATATTTAATAAAAAATTACCAGTGGACTCTATTATCAGGGGACTCATAATTTGCTAAGTTAAGTTACCATAGTATTCCTTGATATTTTTGTTTCACAGCTAAGTTTTAAGGTTTAATCTTCTTAGATTGTTGAATTAGAGAATTGGATGTAAAGGCTATAGAAAAGTAGCTCATATAATTTTTGGTAAAACATTTATGGAAGCATTCCTTTGTTACTAGGATGGATTATGCCATGGTACATATGGCATCCAAAGATTATTATACACTTAAGGCAATATTAAAAACAATGTATCGAACTGAATATTCATATTGAACATCTATACCTATATGATACTGCTAAGTCATAATCAAGTTGGAATAGCTGTTTTTAGCATTTTTAAACCATCACATTCCAAGAGATAATTATTTGCATATTGTTACCTCATGAATTTGAAGTGAGCCCACAGATAATCTGAAGTGTTTAAAATTTTCATGAGTTGAATTTGATGTTCCTGCCAGAGCTAGCTGCATTTCTTAATGGAGGAATTATGAGGGTAGAATTTTATTTCTGTTGACAAAGGCTAGATGCTTATCAGTTCAAAAGAGACAAATATTAATATAATCTTGGTTATGTTTCATATTGATTTAATTGATTTAAATGAAGAAAATGTGTGAAATTATTCTGGAGGATAAATCCAGTTGTCTTGGAAACTTTGAAGTGATAAAATGAAAACAAGATATTGTCATGCTTCAAATGCAAAGGCTATGAATATAAATCAACTCTAAATTTTTTTCAGTTCTATTCCATTGTAAATATAACTTGTTATTAAGGACCAAAAAGAAAATTAAGGATATAATTAATATTAAACAATACATACCATGTAATATATTTTTATTTGTATTACAGGTACAAAAAAATCTGAATTCAGCATTTTGGTATTGACTTGGGATGGGTTTTTGTGGAGTTTTAACTGAAGAACAGAAGTTAAAAAACATCAGAGCCCTCCCCTCTTTCCCTTGCTCACTAGTAATTTCACATTTATATATGCTTTACAAGGCTGTGCAAAGCACCCAAGTCTTGAAATTTTGTTTACTCTGGTTACAAACTTTAGGTAACACAATGAAATAATGAATACAATGAAATACCATTTATATTGGGCTTTGCTGAGGAAAGCTCAAAAATATTAGTGAGTTCTTATCAAATTAATCCTCCTAGCAACATTAGCTATAGAGGTTAGCTATAGATATGGTGCTCTCTAATATTTTGCAGGAACTAAAATGCAGACAAAGAGTTGACATAAAGGCTTTTAGAAGCAACAACCCAGTCTATCTGAAAGCCTGAAAATTAAAGTATATCCTTTAGTGGAGGAAAGCAAACTCAATCTCTAAGCTAAATATTCAGGGAGAAAAGTGGATACCCTGAGAATCTCAGAGTGACATCCAAGAATTTCAATGTAGTCAGTGAACAAAGGAATACAAATTTAAGTAGAGCAAGAGTTACGTTATTTTTTATCATTATAAATAATTATTTAATAACAAAGACAAACGGCTTCAGCATGTTTCTACTTCAATCCTTGATATCCACTTTTTCTTCTTTAACCATTCTCTTCTTTCCCCTTTCCCTTGTTATCACACTTATCACATGCTCCTCTCTTGTGAGGTTTTCTCCATTTGCTGCTTCATGTAGTAGCCAGGGATGGGTTTCTCTAAACCGTGACATTTCTAGAAACACAAGGTACTGAAATAATTGTAATCTAAAATACTTAGATTCGAAATTTGAATAAATTAGGAATCTATAAATTAAAATGAAATAGCTACCCTCTTTTCTCCTACCCACTTCTGGAAAACAGCCCACCCAGCCAACCTCCCCACATCATCGCAGAAAGTACACAACAAAAAAATGGCAAACCAAAGAACAGTGGGAGGTTTTTGTTATTAGACCACTCTTTTAACTTTCCACCTGTCAGCAATTTGGAAAATTGTTAGAGATGGGAGGGGTGTGTGTGTGTGTGTGTGTGTGTGTGTGTGTGTGTGATGAGTTCTTTGAGATTGATGATAATTAAAGAGTTAGTTTAGATCACCCAATAGGATCTGTAGCCTTTTGGTAATTAATGACATGGCCATTCAAGCTCCACTTATGGTACTTCCCTCCAATAATAACTTCCCTGTTATGATTGGAATTCTGTATATCTGTATGACAAGTTGAATATATGTTTATCAGCCAGGCTGTTTTTTATTATATGTTCCCAGTGCATGGTTGCATCTATAGTGGTGCAGTGTTAGACCACAACAAGCCAGAAAAGTATAATATGGGTAATCCAATAGGTAAGTAGGGTGTGAGAGTGAACTTTTATTCTGATTTACAATGTTTTTCTTCTTTATTTCTTCTAAAAAAATGGGATACATGTGCAGAACGTGTAAGATTGTTACATAGGTATACATGTGCCATGGTGATTTGCCGCACCTATCGACCTGTCGTCTTGCAGAGCTTATAGCTTGCAGTGAACACCAATAATAAAATACTGAGACAGTTCCAGCTGAGCGGGGCTGGGGGATAGCTCTTCTGAGAGAGCCCACCACAGCATCTGTCCACCAAGTATTTATTGAAAGGGCTTGTGTCAATGACAAAAGTCTATTAGACGGTCATTCGAGGTGGGTTGCTGAGGCACCTGTGACCTTGTACACACTCAAACTGCATTCTTAGGAGGCCGTTTTCAGCATTCCTTATCACACCACACACTCCACTCCCTGTCCTGTTTTCAGGGTCAAGGAGTTTCATTTCCATGCACCAAAAATATACACACTGCCTCAGTATTTTTCCATACCCCGACCTCAAATTCCATGTACATAAGCTTTAATATGTTGCCGTGTGCCCCTTACATCTCCCCTTTCTTTAATTCTTAGAGCATGCTGGTCATCCAATGCAAGTGTAGCTTCCATTGTTCTTCCCTGGTTGTAGATGATTTAGGTGGCAGTACAGAGCCATGTGCAGATGCCTAGCAAACAGATACAAAAAAGAAAAAGTATAGCAGCCACCACCCAAATGTGTATGTTTAACCCAGACATCCAAGTGTTCGGGTTTAACCATTGAAAACCTTCTTGAAAATGCTGAATGGTACTTGTTTGTAATTGCTGTGATCATTCACGAGTTGTTTCTTTAATTCACACTCAAGATGGAAGTTTGAGAAGGCAAATGGTTGCTATAAGCCCCTTGCAGATGTGCTTTTCTAAATAACTGCAAGGTGAAATCGCCTTTCCAATTTCGGGTTAAATTTACAGACAGCCACAATTCTGCCTGCCATTTTAAAATAATGACATAGGTTATATTTAACTGTGCAATGTTTTGATGAGACAAATATGAAGCATACCAACTACTGGAAGACACTTTAATACTATAGAAGGATTGATTCTGCTCTATGTTAGGAACACCTTACTGAAACCAAAGTATATAAGGGTATGTAGTACAAATTAAGACTATATCAGTAACATTATTGTGCAAAGAAAGGGTATAGTTGCTACCACTAGTAATGTACTCACCATGTGAAAGAACCCATTCAAAAAAGGAAGACTTAGTCTCCAAATTTGGGTATGAACAGGGCTTAAAGCTTGTTTCTCTTTTATTTGTAATATGGGTTCTGAAAGCCCATACCCTGACAGGGTGATAGAACTATTGGAGGAATTCCCAAATTCAATAGTCTGATTTGCAGACATATAATAAACATGAGAACCCCAATAAAGTAGTGTCATTATCAGAGGCCCTTGTCATAGCACAGGCTGTCTGCACAGAGACTAATGGATGGCCCCAAACTTATATCTTCAGTCCCTCCTCAGATGTCATATAGGAAGATCAGGCACTTGTGGAGCTTCATTAGAGACTCCAGCAAGATTAGTGGTAATAATAGAAATAAAGGTCAGAAATAAAAACAGCAGAAATAAAGGTCAAATTTGCAAGCTTAGTATCCCTTTTGGGCTGATAGTACAGATACTCCTGAGGAATGAGAGTAACACACTTGTCATGTGCTATTGTGGAAAAACAAAAAGCTTACTAGACAATAAAATCAAGGAGTCATTAAGTTTAATCCATCTCAAATCTTCATTTAAGGAGTAAGACAAGGGCATCTACTGACTTCCTGTCCAAGAAGTATCATTAGATGACAAAGGTGGGTCAGCATCCCACCATGTAATGACATTAAAAACAGGGGGATTTAGAACATGACTCCAATAAACATGTTCTTGAGCTGATCCCATTTGGCAAAGGACAAGAATTATCAGCCACCCTAAAATCCATGTCTGTCTTAATTTCTGAGAAGTTTTCCAATTACTGCCAGATACATAAGAAACCAATTCTCTGAAGTTGCAAGGGCTTCCACGGCGGCAGGCTGATAGTTGCTTGTTGATCCAATCTCTTTAGCTGTCCTCAAGTAATGTCTGGTGCCTTCCGAGTCACAACCATCATTGCTGGTCAGTTCTCCAAAGACAGATCCTATTCTCAAGGAAAGAGTTCCATATTCCCCCATTTTTGTTTATTAAGATATACTTTAAGAGTTTAATGAGCTCATTTAACAATGGCCTACCTGGTTGAGTTATAAGGGATATTAGTTTTATACTGTATGTGCCAAAGTTGCAAAGCATATGCGAATTGAACACCTAGATAGTAAGGACCATTATCAGTTTCTATAGTTTATAGAAGGCCTAGAGTTATAATAGATTTAAACAAATGAGCAATTGCATCTTTAGTTTTTTTGCCACTCTGGAGAGTAGCATGTATTAAACCAGTATAAGTGTCCATGGTAACATGGAGAAATTTAAAATGTCCAAGCAGTGAATACTGAGTAACATCAGTTTTCCGGATAGCATTAGGCACCCGACCTTGTGGGTTGGCACCACGTGCTAATGAAAAAGGAGAGAGAGAATGCCATTGGCAATTAGGAGTATTCTGATGAAAAAGTAAGATCAGCTTGAGCTTGCAAAAAACCAAAAGAATCTGCAAACCACAGTTGTTTTTGTACCAGAGCATCAGTTTGAGCACTCCCTTCTAATAAGGAACCAGGTAGCCTAGAATGAGGGCAAATATGTGTGATATAAAGATGGTGACGATGGGCACAGAGGAGCTCTTGCGCTGTAACAAACAAAGCTAGTAGAGAGTCATCAGTAATGCCCTTCACATGTGCAAGATCTAAATGAGTAATACTATTCACCGCACAAGCAGAATCATTAACTATGTTTATATCTTGGTGACAAAAAGTCTGTAAGGCCAACATTAGGGCACCTAACTCTGCCTGTTTCATAGTTTTAAAATGTTCCTGGATTTTGCGTTGCCAATTTTGCATGGCATCTTGCCACACTATAGCTACTTTTGCTTTGCTTCTTCCTGAACCATCTTTAAAGACCGTAGTGGCGTGAAGCAAGTGCTCAGAGACAATAGATACAAATTTAACAGGCACAGTTTGCAAAAAGTTTAGGAACCTAGAGGCTGGTAAATGAAAACTGATATTACCAGTAAAGTCAGCCATTGCTACTTGCCAGTGGAGATCACAAGCTAAGAGAGTATGAAATTGTTCCCTGCTTAACGGGAGGAAAAGAGTAGTAGGATAATATCTTGATAATTGGACCCAATGTTGACACCCCTTTATGAGAAGAGAAGGTGTTAAATCTGTGGTCTTTTGTTTATGTTCAGAGAGGTTATGAGACAGGTAAATAGCACATAAATACAGAAACAGAAAAAAAAAAAACCTACCTGCTAAACTAAGGCATGGAAGGGTTGGATATTTTAAGTGATTTGTACCACCTGTTGGTCCTTGAAAGTCATTAGAACGTAACTTCAAGTTGCCAGGATAATAAACCTGCATTGAGTTAGCTTAAGTGTATATAAAAAAGAAAAACCTCCAAAAAACATTTTTAAATGTCCTTAGGTGCTGGCCATTTTTGTGCATTAGCCTTTAGCTGGAATGTCTTAGAAGTGAGATTGGGAAAGTAGGGCTGTGGTCAGTTCCTTTACACCTGCTCTGGGCTCCTCAGGCAGCCCCTTTTTTTAGTAGCCTGCTACCTGTACCTCCCCTTACCCTGAGAGGAAGAAAGGAAGACTACACATGGCAGCAAGAGGCCAGGGAATGACCAGGTGGTAAAGTGTGCGTATAAATGCGGGGCAGGAGGCAAGAGGGTAACAGGCTGGGAGAAGACCGCTCCCCTCATCCTCCAGACCACCTACTCTTGGGGCCAACCCTCTTAGGTAAGGTACTGAAAACATACTGGGCTTTTTATTATTTTTATTACCCCCAAGCAGAGAGGCTCAGGGGAGGAGTAGACATGCAGCACAGGGTCTGCTTTGAAATTACCTAGCCACAGTATTTTTTAAACATTTTATAAGAAAGCAGAACAAACATTCCTTACTGCTGCATCTATCTTCTGAAGATGACAACAGCTGACAGAGCTTGTCCACCTCAGCCTAGTTAGCATTTAACATATGGCTATGGGAGAGGACCCCTTATTAGCGGGCTTCTCCCCCAGAGCTCTGTCCTCTAGGCTGCTTCACACCCCTCTGCCTACCTTAGGCTAACAAGGTCAGGGTGTACATGGACTGTTTCTTAGCTCTTTCTGTAGAGAGCCAGGGAAGACAAGAAATTGCTTGTCAGCTGAGACACGCAAGGGGTGGCAGGGAAGGGCAGAAGTAGGAAAAGCAGCAGCGCAGCAGGCAGCAGGCCACTTGCGGGGCACAGTTACTAAGGCAAGTGACCATGGCGAGGAGGATTCTCAGGACTGTGCTGGAGCTGCCAGCAGCCACCCAGGGACTCGGTCTGTGCCTCTTGGCCTCCCCTCCATCGCCACAAACCCAGAAAAAGCAACTTGCTTAGACTGCCAGAGACCAAATGGGCCCTCCATGGCTTCTTAGCAACTCTCCTGCCCCAGACTTCTGTGGGCAGCAAGAAACCCAGAGTTTTCTGATATAAAACCCAGGAGGCAATGTACAACTTTGCTTAATACTCCAGGGAAACAGAAAAACCACAAGGTCAGAATGATCGATCCTGGAAATGGAAAGTGAGAGCTTGTATATTAGGAAGACAATCGTCATCAGCCACTTCTCTTCCCTCCTGGAGCCACCCCTCCAGCAGGGAAGTTTGTTAAGGGGACAGGACCACCTGATCATATAGATGTTCGCTGATGGGGTTCTTATCCAAGGACCATCCCGTGGGAGGCCTCCAATCTCCTCAACAGAGATGGGAGGTGCTGTTGACCAAACAGAATTGGGCCAAGGAATGCAGGTCTCTTTAAGGATGGAGGAAAGGGGGCAATGGTTTTTCTATAGGAGGAGGAAAAGGCTCTGATTTGTACTTACCCTCACTAGAAAAAGTCTCTTTCTATTCCCCATAAAAGGGAATGAAGTGGGGAGACAAATCTCTCCCTGTTGTTCTGGTTCCTGTTTTTGCTTGTCCTTTAAATCTCCTGAATTCCCTTCAGGTGAAGAAGATAGGCATTCTGAATCACCACAGTCTTGTAGATGAAGAGGATACCATGCAGAGCCTACCAGCACCCAGGTGGTTGAAATAGTAACATTAGTAAAATGAACTTGCTCATATCCTTTTATCAGACAGGGACCTACCTGCTCCCATAACTCTAAATCTAAGGTTCCTTGATCAGGAAACCAAGGGCATTCCTGCCGAATTAAGAGCATAAGCTTGTGTAGCTCTCCAGGCTCCAGAGTGCACTGGACAGCCTTAGGTAGCTGTTGCACTTTTTAAAAAATACCTTCTGCCTTTTGGTATTTCTTGACCCACGATAACCACGTTTGGTTTTTTCTTGTAAATATGTTTAAGTCCCTTGGAAATACTGAATATTAGACCTTTGTTAGATGGGTTGATTGCAAAAATCTTCTCCCATTCCATAGGTTGCCAGTTATTGCTGATAATAGTTTTGTTTGCTGTGCAGAAGCTCTTTAGTTTAATTAAATGCCATTTGTCTATTTTGGCCTTTGTTGCAATTGCTTTTGGTGTTTTAGTCATGAAATCGTTGCCCATGCCTATGTCCTGAATGGTATTGCCTAGGTTTTCTTCTGGGAGTTTTTATGGTTTTGGGTTTTACACTTAAATCTTTAATCCATCTTGAGTTAATTTTTGTGTAAGATGTAAGGAAGGGCTCCAGTTTCAGCTTTCTGCATATGGTTAGTCAGTTTTCCCAGCACCACTTACTAAATAGGAGATCCTTTCCCCTATTATGTTTCTGTCAAGTTTGTCAAAGATCAGATGGTTGTAGATAGTGTGGTATTATTTCTAAGATCTGCGTTCTGCTCCATTTGTCTATATTCTGTTTTGGTACCAGTACCATGCTGTTTTTGTTATGGTAGCCTTGTCGTGTAGATTGAAGTCAAGTAGTGTGATGCCTCCAGCTTTGGTCTTTTTGCTTAGGATTGTCTTGCCTATATGGGGTCTCTTTTGATTCCATATGAAATTTTAAATAGTTATTTCTAATTATGTGAGGAATATCAATGGTAGTTTTATGGGAACAGCATTGAAGCTATAAATTACTTAGAACAGTATGGCTATTTTCACAATATTGATTCTTCCTATCAATGAGGATGGAATGTTTTTCCATGTGTGTCCTCTCATTTCCTGGATCAGTGGTTTGTAGTTCTCCTTGAAGAGGCCCTTCACATCCTTTGTTAGCCATATTCCTAAGTTTTGTATTCTCTTCGTAGCAGTTATGAATAAGAGTTTGCTCATGATCTGGCTCTCTGCTTGCCTATTGTTGGTGTAAAGAAATGCCTATGATTTTTGCACATTGATTTTGCATCCTGAGATTTTGCTGAAGTTGCTTATTAGTTGAAGAAGTTTTTGGTCTGAGATGATGGGGTTTTCTGAATATAAAATCATGTCATCTGCAAACAGACAACTTGACTTTCTCTCTTTCTATTTGAATACAACTTTATTTCTCTCTCTTGCCTGGTTGCCCTGGCCAGAAATTCCAATATTATGTGGAATAGGAGTGATGAGAGAGGACATCCTTGTTTTCTACTGACTTTCAAAGGGAATGTTTCCAGCTTTTGCCCATTCAATATGTTATTGGCTATGGATTTTACATACATGCTCTTATTATTTTGAGATATGTTCCATTAGTACCTAGTTTACTGAGAGTTTTTAACATGAAGGATTGTTGAATTTTATCAAAGGCCTTTTCTGTGTCTATTGGGATAATCCTGTGGTTTTTGTCTTTGGTTCTGTTTATGTGATGGATTATGTTTCTTGATTTGCATATGCTGAACCAGCCTTGCATCTCAGGGTTGAAACCAACTTGATCATGATGGATAAGCTTTCTGATGTGCTGCTGAATTCAGTTTACCAGTATTTTATTGAGGATTTTCACACCTATGTTCATCAGGGATACTGGCATGAAATTTCCTTATTTTGTTGTGTCTCTGCCATGTTTTGGTATCAGGATGATTCTGGCTTCATAAAAGCAGCATCCTTGTCAGTTGTTTGGAATAGCCTCAGAGGAAATGGTACTAGTTCCTTTTTGTATTTTTGGT